GCTCTTGAGATCCACCTGTCTCCATCCTCCAAGGCTAAGCTTACAAGCATGAATAGCTATGCCTGACTTCTCATGTGGATGAAGGGGATTCAACCTCATGTCATTTTGTTTTCAGAGCAAATGCTCTTACCCATTGAGCAATCTCCCTACCCCTTGCTGCATATCTTAATTGGACAAAGAAGTATGTCATCCATAGCTCCATCCTCTATACATCTCATGGTAAAAAGCAGAATCTGCCTTCATCTCTCCAAAAGACAGTGGCTTGTTCATCTTTCTGCTTGTGTGTGCTAAGCATCCTCTCCCAAGATCTGCAAAGGCTGTAATGGAGTGGACAGTGCATGTGTCAAAGCCAACGTGAGGTTTTTGTAGCATTCTCTTGAGATAGCCTCCTCAGAGCAAGACTGTTCTGAGGTATATTGGTAGGGCAATCGCTTTGGGTTCTGTGTTCTCATATTTAGTTACAGCAAAAATGGCAGCCAGGCGACTATCCTAGGTGTTCCTGAGCTTTGAGGTGATACATGGGCCACATGCCAATTTCACTGTACCTTTTGTGTCTTAGATTCCCTTCATTTCCAGGTACATTCTTTGGCATTCTAGGCTCCAGCCCAGTGCCCCCCATGGATGTGTCTTCTATTTATAGATAGAAGAATAGGATCGTCTTTTCTTCCTGACAGAAGTGTACCAGCCTAATGGTCAACACAAGTATGCAAAACTGAAACTTGACGTGTGGACTAAAAAGAGACATTCATTTCCTGTCCTCCAGATTGTACATTGCCCATCTAGTCTAGAAGATAAAAAGGTCCCATATTCATTTAATGCTGGGCATTGAGTAAAGTCTCGCCCTACCAAATTTTACTTGTGAGGGTAGGAAGAATAGCGAGGAAGCTCCAGTGGCCCTGATGGTGAAGCACCCTTCCAGATGGACCCAGTGGGACACAAGCCAGGTAAGAGAATGGTGGAAAGGCACTCTGGTGGAGGCAAAGGGTTGTTTCTTAAATAGAGAATTCAGATTACAGCCAGGCTAGAAAGCAGCATCCACACCATGGAAGAATGTGGTGAAATTGGCCTGAGTACACAGAGAACTTTCTACTGACTTTTAGTGAGACAGTAAGAATCTCTATCTGGGCATTAAAATTGAAGGAAGAAAGTTGTGCCTATGGGTGCAAACCTATAATCTCAGCATTCAAGAGGCTCATGAGTTTGGGGTCAGTCTGGGCTATAAAAGAGTTAAAGGCTATGGGCTATGTAGCAAGACCTTGTCTTAAAAGGTCAAGACAAGCCCGGCGTGGTGGAGCATGCCTTTAATCCCAGCATTTGGGAGGCAGAGGCAGGTAGATCTCTGTGAGTTCAAGGCCAGCCTGGTCTACATAGCCAGTTCCAGACTAGCTGGGGCTACAGGGAGACTGTCTCAAAAAGAAAAAAATGTCAAGGCAAAATTTTATAAAAAGATCTAAGGATGTAGCTCAGTCGTAGAACTTGTTTGGAATACATGAGGCCCTAGATTTGATCCCCAGCACTAAGAAAATTAGTTAATTAGATTTAATTTTAGGAAAACTGGGCACAGAAGAAATCATTAATAGGACTTAGTGACTGAATAGATGCAAAATAAAAAGAAAACTGAAGTAAACATTTGTGATCATATGCTGAATATTAGGATGGTACCATCATTTCTGAAAGACAATGACCACATTTCATGCAGATCTAAATACAAAATATTGTCTGTATTTTGAAGCCGTCGAAGCACTTGCTACTTACCTTGCTGTTATTTCTTTTACTCTTTTATTTTTCTACATTCATAGTGGGTGTGTACACCTGTACATGCACACATCTGTGTATGGGTATGCACATGGTGCTGTGCATGTGGACGTCAGAGGACAACTTGGAAGAGTCAGTTCTCTCCTACCATATGGGTTCCAGTGATTGAACGCAGGTTGTTAGGCTTGGCAGAAAGCACCTTTCCGCACTGAGCCACCACCTTGCTGGCCCTATTTGACTTCCAGCGCAGTTTCCATTTGTTGAGGCTCTTAGCAAAAGGTGTGAAGTCAGCTTGTAGCAATTGTTTCAGCTTATGCTACCTGAATCCACAAATCGCTACTCCTGTTTTGTGGTTGGGCTTCTTTTTACAAGTGTTTATTTTTTCCATAAATTAATAACATTATGACAATATTTGTTTTCATCATTTAGAGAAGTAACTACCTAAACCGTACATTCTCTTTGTCTAATATTTTTATTATATTCAATGATTGTGTCTGTTCTTTGAAGAGAGCCCACTTAAAGACAGTCTTTATTTAAGAATGTGAGAAGAACAGAACTGCAAGTTTTAAAGTAGCACATTGGGGCTGGAGAGATGGCTCCGCAGTTAAGAGCACTTGCTGCACTTAAAGAGGAGCTCAGTTCAGTTCCCAGCAACTACATTGGGCAGCTCACAGCTCTAACTCCAGCTCCAGGGGCTCCAGTGCCCTCTTCTGGCCTCTGTGGGCCCCTGCATGTATGTGTACAGGCACACAAATACACATAAATGAAAATAATAAAATAAGCAAAAGTAGCATGTCTACACTCAGTAACTATTCATAGCAATTATGGGCTTTTCTAAAAATTATAAACCTCTCCTATTTTATAAAGTAAAATAATCTACTACATCTTAGTACTTGGTCAAATTTCTATAAGCTTAATTTTTTATGACACTAAATTGTTGCATCTGATGAAATACATAAAGAATCAAAATGCAATCATGTTACAAGAGATTCTCACTGCATCATCTTGATTAATGTCGATGCATAAGGCCTTGCAGCTTACCTACCCATTTTATCTAGTAAGCGGTAACTAGCAACCTCAATGAGTAGCCAAACAGTGCCCATTTATTGATAGTGTGATTTCCTGATAGAGGTTTCCAGCACATACCTCGCATTCTCTAATTGCTTTTAAGTCTGACACATTCAGCAGTACATTTGGACTATCCTGCCGTGGACTCTAGCCAGTTCATACAGAAATGTTTTCATGGACTTGTTAGGCCAAGGACACAGTCAGTGCCCCACTGAGGTTAGGCACTGCTGCAAAGAAAAAGACCAGCTCTAACTATAAGGAGCCCCCCACATCGGGCTCCCATTCTGAGCAGAGGAACTGAAGCCCCCAGGTGCCGCTGGTGTGATGGCAGCCCCCTTTGCACCTCTGTCTAGACACTGTGCTTTGAAAGCGCTGCACAGCCACAGGGAGCAGTCCTGGGTCCACGTGATCATTCCCTAAAAACCGCCAAGTACAGAAGAATCAACATTTCCGGTCTGTGTGGGAAGAATTCGTTACGGGTACTGCACGGTGCCGTGTGTGCTTGCATAAGTCCAAGCCTGTCTCGCGAAGCTGGGGGGCTGAAGGGATACCAAGGGCCCTGGAACTTGAGGCAATTTGCATTTGAGTGCACAGCAGCCTTGAGGCTGGATAAAGATTTTCATTGGTATAGCAGAAAAGGTCCAGAGATAAGATTTGGAAAATCATTAGGCCTTTGCATCCTTCTCAGTGCACCGAATTCTAGAGCAACACCATCCAAAATAAATATGGTACAAGCCACAAATGCAAGCCATGCCTGTGGGCCATGTTACAAAAGTAAAAAAGAAACCGTTGAGATTCATTTTAATGTAGTTTCATTTAATGCAATATATTGAAAATATGGTTGTTACCAAGTAGTCTATGTAAAAACTAAGGAGATATTTTGCATTCTTCTTTTCATTCCAAATCTTGAAGTTCAGATGTGCTCTTCATCCTTACAGCACACTTAGTTTATATCATCCTCATTTCAAGGGCTCAGCAGCCCCATGTGGGTGGCAGTCACTGTGATGGAGAGCCCGATCTAGGGCCACAACAAAAACATCTGCTCTGTGATCAGAAAGGCACCGGGCAGGAGGAGAGGAGAAGCAAAATAGAAAATTTTATTGACTATTGTGAACCTCTGAGACTTTACATCACCTTTTGAAATCTGTGTCTTCCTAAACTATTGGGACTAAACTAGCGCTCGCCAGCGACCTCCACCCAGCCATACTGTGGACAGCTGGACATCCAGCCATCTTGAGCTCCAGCCGTGAAATTCACCTGAGCTGGTGCCCCACTGCCTTCATATCCTTCCACAGTCCTTCATGTCTGATAAACGACTACTTATCTAAAGCAGCACAGCCTCATTCACCCACACCCTATCATCACCACACACCATTTGTGAGCAGCCTTGGGACCATATAAACATCCTGTGGCGAGGTCAGGAACACCTGACCCCCTATTAACACGTCAATGAGAGTGGCTGGTGCACTGGGCTTGTTTTCTAGGGTTTTGATGAGCTTCGTTAATTATGCTGAGCAAGAAAGGTGTGCAGCTGGAGAGGAACCCACTTAGCTCCACGTGAACATGAATAATTGGCCAGTTGGCAGAGTGTTGAAGTGGCGGTCTAGTGAGAAAAACTGGTGAATAAACACAATTCTCCTAAACCGCAAAAGGCAGCTTCTGGAAGATGCCAACCCCTTCCACCTTCTTGTGATTTGGGAACAGCCTGGTGTGACCTAACATAGGGCAGGTAAGGACCTGCCTTGGTAGGAAGGACATAGTGTGGAGGCCGGTAGCCAGCTCCAAAGCCAGGACAAATATGTTGATCCTGGCTTCGCCAGTTCAGTAGTTGCAGGACCGGACCATACAGGTTGTAGAGCCTCTCTGAGGTTAAGATTTTCATCCGGAAGATGGAAATGATAGTAAGACTATTAGAACAATTCTGTGTTTGGATTCATGCAAAGCATTTAGAATAGTATTAAACCCTGTAATTTTTACTTTTCTTGTTGCTGTGACAAAATACCTGACAAAAGCAACTTAAGGAAAGAAGGGTTTGGGGTTCTTGGTTCAACAAGAGACAAGTCCATCATGGAGCCGAAGGCTTAATGGCAGTCAGCTCCCTGGTGGCAGGAGTGTGCAGCACTTTACCTCCTTATATTTTGGCAAATCAGGAAGCAGTGAAGACAGGAAGACAGGCTATACTTACCTGGCAGGGGAAACGCCATGATCAAAAAGGTGGTTTTCAGAGGGCGAGGTACATCCATTGCACTTTGGGATGTGCTGACCCCTGCGATTTCCCCAAATGTGGGAAACTCGACTGCATAATTTGTGGTGATGGGGGAACTGCATTTGTGCTTTCCCCTGGTTTCTATATTTAAAGGTATGCTCTGGGGGCTGGAGAGATGGCTCAGTGATTTAGAACACTGGTTGTTCTTGCGGAAGACCCGGGTTCAAATCCCAGTACCCACATGGCAGCTAACAACTGTTCATAACCCCAGTTCCAGGGGATCTGACAGCCTCTTCTGTCCTCCGTGGGCATTGCACGACACGGATGCACTTACCTACATGCAGGCAATACACATATACACATACACATAAAATAAAAAATAAAAATAAATCTCAAGGCCCACCTGCAGTGACCTACTTCCTCCACCTCCTAAAGGTTCTTCGGTCTTCCAAAACAATGCCACTAGTTGGGTACCAGATGTTCCCACACATGAGTGTATGGGGCGGGGGGCACTTCACATTCAAACCACAATAGATCCTAACACAACCTATATTTGTTTTTACATGTAATTAAAATTATGAACCATTTCATATGTTATGTCCATCTTTTAAATTCTCTAGGAAGTATATAACTATGGTCATGTTCTTTAAAGCCTGCTTCATTCATCCACTCAATAGATATTTGTTATATATCTGCAGTCTGAGCATTAAGCATATCAAGAAGGAAAAAATATGGAAGAAACATTGCCATGAATGTGAAAATTATATGGACAGGAGCCACAAACAGTGAACATGTCTCTTGTTAGAAAGTTCCACTGTGGATGAAAATAGCTTCTTTGTGTCTAGGCTTACAGGGTTGTAATAAAAAGTACACCAGGCGTGGGTGGCACATCTTTAATCCCAGCACTGGGGAAGCAGAGGCAGGTGGATCTCTGTGAGTTTGAGGCCAGCCTGGTCTACATAGGGGCTAAGGGAGACCTGGTCTCAAAAAGACAAAAAAAAAAAGTAGAAATTACTTACTTTCCATATTTTAATATGAAAATGCCAGCTTTTGGTGTATGTATGTATGTATGTATGTGTGTATGTATGTATGTATGTATGTGTGTGTGTATTCGTGGGTATGTGTGTGTGTGTGTATATATGTGTGTATACCAGCACATGTGCTACAACTTTTGCATCAGCTGATGGGCGGGGATCTGTTCTCTCCTTCCCTGGGTCTCAAGGATTGAATTCAGGTTATCAGGCTTGGTTGCAAGAGCTTTTATCTGCTGAGCCATCTCATCAGCTGACTTTCACATTTACTAAAAGCAAGTAAATAAATATTCCAAATAATGAAAACTATTTTTCCTTTAATGCACTTTTTTTGAAAGTCTAAAACTTGGAGACTGGAAAGCTCAGTGGTTAAGAGTACTGGCTGCTCTTGCAGGAGACCCAGGTTCGAATCCCAGCACCCACATGGTGACTAACAACCATCTGTAACTCCAGTTCCAGGGGATCTGATGCCCTCTTCTGGCCTCCACCGGCACCGCATGGGTGCACTTACATGCAGGCATAACATTCATACACATTTAAATAAATAAATAAATTTTTAAGTCTAAAACTTGAGCTAAAAATAAAGAAGGGTTCTACTGGAAATTTTCTCATTTAATTATTTATCTATTGCTGTGTCACAAATTATACACCAAACAGCAGCTTCCACAGCAAATTCTGGGAACAGTGTGGATCATGTTCCTGGCTCAGTGTCTCTCATAGGTTAGTCAATATGTTACCTGGGACTACGTTCAGCCCTTGACTGGACTTGGGCTGAAGGATTAGCTACCTCAACAGCACCCTTCCATGGCTGTGGACCAGAGGCTTCCATGGCTTATTGCTTGGAGCTCTCTACCGGACGGGCTGCCTGAGTACTCTCCAGATGTGGCAGCTGGCTTCCCCAGAGAGGATAATTCAAGAGAGATCAAGGAGGAAGCCCCAGCGCCTATCATGAATAGTATCCAGGTCATACACCTTCCCTTTCTTCATTATTCCATTCATTAGGAACAAAATAATGAAGTCCAGTTACTCTCCAGGGAAGGGAGATTAGATTTTCCGTTCAGAAGAGAGTGTCAAGAATTCATGGACATATTTGTGGACACTATAATTGCCATGAATGGCTTTTGACATTTCATAAAGTGGTATTGGCAAGGGAAAGTTCAGGAAGGGAAGAACTGAGTTGGCAATGGTGAACAGATGAGGATTAGGGCGGGGCTCAGGTGAACAGAGGGATGAAGTCATGGGTTCCAAACATACTAGAAATTTCTATGCTTTCCTTTGGCAGCCCCAGGCCTTATAGTAAAGTTATGACTCATAGCAGAGAACATAATTCTGTGGTCAAATGTGAAACCTTTTTTATTTAAAGTAGAAGAGAAAATGTAAGAGGACCTTGGTTTCTTTTTCACTCTGAACCCAACCTGGTTATTGACAGGATTTTCCCATTTCTGCTTTAAGAATCTTGGGGGCTGGAGAGATGGCTCAGCAGTTAAGAGCACTGATTGCTCTTGCAAAGGACCCGGGTTCAATTCCCAGCACCCACATGGCAGCTAGCAGCCATCATAACTCCAGTTCCAGGGGATCTGACACCCTCTTCTGACCTTAGTGGACATTGCACAACTTGGGTGCACTTACATACACACAGGCAATATGTTCATAAACATAAAATAAAAATAATAAAATACTAAAAAAAAAATTTTATCCTTCGCCTTCTAGTTGTTAAGGTGCTTGTTGCATAGACCCTTTGTCCTCTGCTTTTCAGGCCATAACCTAGATGCTGCTCTTAGTCACATATAACTTCCTGCTACCGAAGATTCCTGGGGCCAAAGCTCTTGTGCCCCATGCTGTCCTCTTAGTCATCTCTCCCCACACGTGTGCTCTTAGCAAGATGCATGCATCCAAATCCTCTGAGCCCTCAGGCTTTTCTTTCCATTTCTCCTTCAAATACGAATCACCCTAGCAACATTCATCCAAAAACAACTGCACATACAGCTGTGTTCCCATCTCTTCGAGCGTCACAAAGGAAGCAGAAAGGCATGGCCCCTGCCCTTAAGAAGCTTTTCTTGTACTAAAAACTGTATGTAAAGGATTCTGTAAAATGATAACAGTATACAGAGTCCTATTTATATTCAAGTGACATGTCCAAGATGCAGTGATTATACTTTTTTTGTTTTTCAGTGCTGGATATCGAACCCAGAGCTTTTGCAATGCTATGCAAATGCTGTACTACTTTGCTACATTCTCAGTCAAAACTTATAATAGTTAAATCCAAGGGATATTCCTTTGTCAACACTCTAATGAAAAAAGCTAGCTGTCTTTTGGATTGGTATATGCATGCGCCTTGATGAGAAAGATTGTTACAAGAAAGTCAGCACCTGAAGCTGACATATTTCACCCAGTCTGGTGAATATTCAAATGCAGTCATGAAACCAAAATAAATAAATCAGGTATTTATCAATAATCTGTGCAAAAAAAGAAATATGCCCTGTTAATATGATAAATAATTAGCCACAGCTGATAGCTGAAGTATAAACAGAAGGATAATTCATAATGTTCTGGTTTCTTCATCGTTTAAAAGGCATCAGTCCTGGGCTTTAATTTACCCTACTTTGAATGAATGCTCTTCAGCAAGGGATGTAGGAGAGCAGTGGGCTGTGAAGGGTGATTAGGGATAAAAAGTATGAGACAGAAGTAAGCAAGGACTTGGGAGACTTGAGGGGAGAAGGAAGCCCTTGGTGCTTGTTACTAAGACCTGGTCTGTGATAGAAGAAGCAGTGGGTAGCCATTGTAGGCATCAGAAAGGAGTGAAGAACTATCTTAATCAAAGTGATTGGCAGGAGAGACACTAGGACACAGCACACCTGGAGCAAAATAATTAGGGCCTGACTACATGTGACTGTGGATATAAATCCAAAGAAAAGGAACGGAAGAGGGAAGTGACCATGGGTGGGAGGAAGAGTATGAAAGAGAGATAGTCTAATTTGACTTCCACACCTTGAAGTCAAGGAGGGCCCTTATTTGCTGGTGAAGGACAGCTGACCAAAGCAAGTAGTCATAACAGTATTTGGCTTGTCAGTGGACACTGAGTTAACGTTAAAATTCTACGAAGAAAGAAAGGAGTCAGAGGAATCACGGTGTTGGATTTCATGTTCATTCACTTCTGTGCAAACCCACTTCTACACATGAATCGATGAACCACGTGAAAGATATTGTCCATGAGGAAAAAGGGTGTGTGTGTGTGTGTGTGTGTGTGTATGTGTGTGTGTGTGTGTGTCTAGAGAGAAAGAGAGAGACAGAGACTCAGAACAATAATAACAACCTACAACTAGCTAGAATTGATGGCTGATGAATAGTATGCAAATGAGAAATATTTGGAATGTGTATGTCTAGCATGAGTATATATGTGTATTTTTAATTTTTTTTAATATTTTATTTATTATTTTTATTTTATGTGTATGAGTGTATTGCCTGCATGTATGTAAGCACACCCATGTCATGCAGTGCCCAAGGAGATCAGAAGAGGGTGTGAGATCCCCTGGGACTGGAGTTACAGACAGTTGTTAGCCACCAGGAATTGAGCCCTGGCCCTCTGGAAAAGCAGCCAGTGCTCTTAACCACTGAGCCATCTCTCTAGCCCCTCATGTATATTTTTGTATATTCATGCATGCAGAGAATGTGAAAGAGAACCTGAAAACCTACTCCTCATCCATTTAGTTCCAACTCTTTGGACTATAAATCATTTTTTCCTGACTTTCTTTTCCTTCATTTTTTTTCTACTTATATTTTTTCAGAATTTCCCATGTTTCATAATGGAACATATATTACTTATATAAGTTTTTTCTTAGGGAGAAATCATCTTAAGTCCTTGATGGAAGAAGAGCTAGGAATAGAAATTTCAAGTTCAGAAATTAGGAGAGAACGTGAAAATAATGGCTCCATGATGAGGAAACTGAGACCTGAGAATTAGAATTATAGAATTATAGGATTTCTTATGCTTCTAATGTAAAGATTAAAATATGTATGTATGTCAAACAGAAAAATGGAGTTGTCTTCTAGAATTTGATCAGTCCAAAGCTGTTCTCCTCCTTAACCACAGGTGATTTTATTCCCTC